GAAGAAAGGGGAAGGGGAGGAGGGACAGGATAGAGGGATGGCCAATGTTCTTAAAAAACCTTGGAGAAATATTTAGTTTTTAAAAATATGTGAGTACTACTGTAATGAAAAAACAAAAACAATTTAAAAATATATATATCTTTATTGATTTCAGACAGGAAGGGAGAGGGAGAGAGAGATAGAAACATCAATGATGAGAGAGTCATTGATTGGCTGCCCCCTGCACACCCCACCTTGAGCCCGCAACCCGGGCATGTGCCTTGACCAGGAATTGAACTGTGATCTCCTGGATCCTAGGCTGACGCTCAACCACTGAGCCATACCCTGCCGGGCAAAAACAATTCTTAATTGGTACTAAAAGACTTTTAAAAATAACATTTTGGATGTTAGAATTAATCTGATGCAACGCAGTGTCTATGCAGGATTATACCTTTTCCCTAGAGATGAATTACTCCTTTAACATAAACTCTTAATGAAGATGCCTCTTGCATGATCTCCACGCCACAGGATCACTGGGCTGAGAGGTCATGCATGACAACACCTGACTGAGCTGCTGCAGAATCCGAGAGAAGTACATTCATACAGACCTGAAGGCAACAGCAAAACATGGCAGAAAAGGCAGACAGGAAGAGAATGGTACTTGTAAGAAAAATGGTTCTAACCAAACTCAAATCCTCACAAAACACATGGATGGTGGGAGCTGTGCCCTTCTAGCTGCGTGTGCACACGGAGCTCGGCACACATTTGCTGAAAGGACAGATGCACATTTTTACTAGAACTACCACCACCACACGTCTGTTTGGACAAGGTCCAGTTAATGCTTCATGACATTGTGCGGTGGGTCACTTTCCACAGTAGGTCCAACGTCACCTGACACAAACCTCTCATTAGACTTTCTGTTATCAGTGGCGGCACATTTGAGAACATAGTTCACTGTCTGCCCCTATGAATTTCGGTTGGAGCCAGAGAAGAGCAGACCCACACCTCCCTGACTCTCAAATCAGGAGTTATCAGAGCCAGTAAAGCTCCTGAGGGTTTGAAGAGCCGAGTTCAAAGGCAAGACTAATGAACTGCTGATGGATTTAACAATTCTTTCAAGTATTCTTTACAGTTATAATGAAGGATTCTTCCCTTCGTTCAGGAATGGTTTTAAGGTCTTCATTTCAATTAGATAAGCCTTAAACAACAAATCACACAAGCTTTGTCTAATAGCAGCCTCAGGCTTTCAGAAGGCTCTAAGTATTTCTGAAAAGAAATTGAGCTCTGACAATGGCCTGATTTGGGTCAGCAAGCCACAAAAAGCAAACTAGGGGCACATTTTACAAATCCCACTTTCTGGCAGAAGTCAATCAGGTGACAGCTACAAAGACAATTCCAGCTCCCAGCACCCCGAGAGGAACCGCTGTTTGATGGAGGTAAGGCTGTCTAAGGCTCTTCCTCACACTTGCAGGAGAAAGTACAGAGCCCGGTGCTTCTTACAGGAGGAGCGTATTAATGTTTTAACAAAACATTTTAAAGGCACAGGCAGCCATGCTTTTCCCCACCGATCACCTTGCATGTTCCTAGCTCCCATGCACCCATGCACATAAGGATGACCCTCCTGTGTTATCAATCCCAGGGCTGCCCCAACTTCAAGTCTGTGACAGAATGGTGGAAGATGGGAAAGGGGGCTTTCCACATAAATTCGTAAGCACAAGGGGCTTTTAAAACAGCTCTTGAACTGTGTACCATGCTGCACAAAGGATCAAAACAAATTTTAATTTACGTGTCCTACCCTCTCTAACATTCAATGTAATAAGGACTCCTAAGCATAAAACGCAGCTAGGAATGAGACACTTGCAGCCTAAGTCAGCTCCACTCTTTTCCTACTGAAGCTTCAGGGCCTGGAGATCCAAAAATCACTTCCACTTAGCTTGTAAAATGGCATTAAGGAGCTGAACAGTTACCTCCCTAACCGTCCCAGACAGGGCTAACGAGAAAACCAGCGTGCATCCCGGAGGAGAGTCAGCACGGCAGGAAGCACGGTAAGACGCACACGCATTTCATGCCCTGATGCGAACTGGGGAGGGGCATGGCCACAGCACAGAGAAGTAACTGTTTCAACACTGGTATATTATTCACATAATGACAAGGAAACATAAAAGCCACCTATGTATTTACTTACGGAAACTTATAGAAATTAAGATTTAAATAATATATTAAAAGAACATAATAGACCAGGAGGAGAGGCTGCAGAAAGGGTGAGGAAGCGGAAGGAGCAGCGTGTGAATCCACTTAGAAATCACAGCACCAAGAATGCCCCTCTCCGGTCTTATCCTTGCACCTTATGGAAGAAATAACCAAGCCCCCCCAAGCTGAAGGTCACCGGCGACAACACACTAGTAAGTAAGCAAGGGGACCAAGATCCTCAGTGGCAGTTCCTTGGCATCGCCAAAGAGGGTGGAACAAACATAAACACAGGAAGAGCTCACTTATTTCACGTTCCCTCACCTGGTTAACGACGAGAGAGAACAGAGAGTAAACAAGCAAACAAACCCTGAGCACTCAGCACAGCTGCTCAAAGCCACAGGGCCAGGCCCTTCACTCAGGCACAGGCCCTGCCCCGCAGGCTCCTGCGGAGGTAACGACCTTTACAACTCCTAGTATAAGCGAGCTGGGGTCCCACCGCCTGATCTGCAGATGAGAAAAGAGCACTGGGAGGAAGTCTTCATATAGCTGGGAAATGAGAAAAGCCCCCTCCTGTCTTGACAATATCAGCTAAATAAAGCACTAAATTTGATGACTGGCTTTGTCTATTTTCACATTAGTAAAGGAAGGTGGGCACAGTTAAAGGATAGCGTGCATACGCCCAATATGCCAAGTCTAAAAATTGGCTACTTCTGCAATTATGACCAAACCTAGCTAGTACATTTAAACATTTAACAATCTAAAAATTCAACAATAAAAAGATTAACTACAATACACCCACAACATAGAATATACAGCTCTTCAAAATATTTACAAAGAAATTTTAATAAAATTGGAAGCCACTTGTGTTATTTTATAGAACCAGGACAAATATTTTATAAATACAATAGTATCTTGCTAGTACAGTTTGTAATTTTAAGAGAAACAAGACAGGAAAGAAACTCACTAAAATATTAATGACGCTTTCCTCTGGGGAGAATGAAATGGGTGACTCTCTCATATTTTCTGTTTTACAAACTTCCCGTCCTGAGCACATACTACCTTACAAGCAGGGGAGGGGAACAAAACACTAAATGTATTTTTAAAGTAAAAATAAACAAGCTTTAAGCTACTATCAAGACAGTGGAGAAGCAGTGTATCAGCATTCTCTCTGCCTTATAACACTGTACCTTAACTTTCTTTTTCCACGTAGACTGTTGCCGCTCCTCCTCCTCCTCGATTAATTTAAGTGCCAGCTCTTTGTTCACTTTTGGCAATTTCTATAGAGGAAAAGACAATCTGCATTAAAATGCCTACATTTTGGCTTTAAAGGTTAAAGCAGAGAGCTGAACAGAAG